CAGCAGCTCCGACGGCCGCGGAGCAGCTAGCAGCGCTGCCGCCCCCGCGCCGGCTGATACCAGTAGAGCGCCACCTGCTCGCGGATTCGCCGCGCAGCTTCCAGGCAGGCGCCGGCCCTGGAGCGGGCGCAGGGCCCCCGGGATCTGAATCGGCCAAAGCAGACCGAACGTGCGGCGAGCCTGGTTCGACGCCAGCTGCGTGCTCAGACCAAGGAATCATTCTTACTGAGCGGTTGGCTGTCGACTCGGAGCTTCGAGCTGCAGGCGCGCCTAGAGCGAGCGAGAAATCCAGCGACCATCTTTATCGCGCAGACGTGGATTTGCGCGGTCATTCGACGTCTGCCAAGGTGCTCAGAGACAGGCAGAGGGCCAAGAGACAGAGAGCACACTCGGAAGTACAAGACCAGCAGAGAGCTGCGGAACGGAACGCTGCCGCTTCGGTTGCGACGCCGGCCCCTTCTTCCGAGCCACCGCCGGAGCCGCCGAAAACGCGTCCCAGGCCTTCTGCCGAAGTCAGTCTGGCCGACAGTTTAGACGCGGCGCTGGGTCGCGATGGCAACGACTGGGGCGACGCCCCGGCCGCCCAGATTGGCGCCGACGACGGCGCTGTTTGGGGGGGCAGGGGCCGCGACGGCCAGTCCGCGGTTTCGAAGGAGCGTCCTGTTCTGCGCCTCTCTACTGACCGACGGCTGAACGGCTGAAACGCGAGGCTCAGTCAGCCGCGAGGCGGGCGAAGCTTGCAGACATGACTAAAGCGAAGAAGGCAGCAACGAAGGCTGCCACGACCGCAACAAGCACTGCCCGAGACTTTCCCCTGCCTTCGTTTAAGGAAGAAGGATGAGGTTGACGGCCGATTTCCTCCCACCGTGGCAATGTTGTCTTGTCCTTCTTCTCATCTCTCCTCACTTTGCGCTGCTTGCCTGCCGCTGCCACTTTGGCCCAGGGGCCCTTTGGCCGCGCCGCCGGAGAAGGGGGTGCGCGAGGTCTGGGCGCATCGGGGCCTGCCGGCCGGCTCTCCGACAGCCTCGCGCGAGGCGATTTCACATCCGCATTCGCGCGAAGCGCCCTACGGCGGGGCTCCGCCACATCGCGGGCGCATCGCATTCGCCGCGCCAGTGGCCGCCAGCCAGCGGACTTGTCAGACAGATGTGCACCAGGTTCCGCGCGCACGGCTCGAAGGAAGCACTCGCCGACGCGGCCGAGGCCCACGCGCCGCCTGCGCTGCCGGGGCGCGAGCTGCCTCGCGCGATTGCCCAGCTTGGAAGATCCGTTCAGCGACGGCGAAGTTGGGGGGCTACGACAGAGGCATGCTGCGGACATCGCGGAGCTCAGAAAGTCGCTCTCGCGCGCCGCGGAGTTGCAGCCCTAGCAGATCTTAAGGCAGACGCCCCCGTCACCCCGCCGCCGCCAACCACGGCGACCAGGGAGGCCACTTCCACGGGCGCCTCCGACCGTCGAAGAAGATGGCTGCAAGCCAGTACAATGCGAACTGCTAGCCGATGCGACCACGCTGCGCTAGGACGGCATACTACCACGATTACGGGGGGTGAGCTCTTACCCTGTTGATCAGTGACACATTGTTCAGTGGGCCCATATCCATCTGCGCCGCCCATCGGGCGCGACTCGCGACCCGACCCAGTCTTCAGCTCAAGCCCACAGGTGGCCCGCGACACCTTGCGGCTCTGGTTGATTGGCGCTGGACTTTACCGCGACAGCGCGAGGTGCTGGCCGCCCAGGGCATCTTGCGCCCAAAGGGCGGTGTCCACCCCTGCACGCGGCTCAGCGCAAGCTGTCGTGCCAGGAACATTCGGCGGTCGCCCGCCCCCCCTGGCTCTGCATCGACGGCTGGTCGCAAAACGGCGGGTCTCTGTTGGGGCCCCCGCCCCGTGGCGCCGCGGCTGCGACAGCCGCTGCGCATGCAACTGGCCGCATGCTTCGCGCGCTGCGAAATCGCGCCGCGCCGGAGGCCACGCTGGCGATGCATCTCGGCGACGCTGCGCCGCGACCTCGGATCTCTGCGCGCAGTGGCGGCATGTTGCGACCCAACAGCGCGAGCCCCAGTTAAGTCGGGCCGCGCGGGTTGCAACGAACAGCCTGAGCCGCACGGAGACGGAGACACAGGTGAGGCGCGTGCCTGGTCAGGTTAGCCCCGCACGGCATGCGCCGCTCAGGCTTCGGCCCAGAGGGTTCCGACCGTCGCGAGGGCCTCCCAGCGTCTGACGGCTGCAAAGGCAGCGAGCGTTGGCTTTGGTGATGGCATGTGACAGGCCGAGTGACGCGACCAGTTGCGTCTGCTTGCTGGATGTGTCAGATCTTGACATGTTGATGCGCTGCCTGCTAGAGTGGCACGCTTGACGTACGACTCGAGTGTTTTTCCCTACCTAGGCTCTGCCTAGAAGGGTTCCTATTGTCTTGGCTTAAAGGGGCCGGGCAGCGCAAACCGCCCCGGGCGTTTCCCCCGGTCCCCTGGGAGCCAAGCAAAAGCAACAGCAAAGGTAAAAGCAAACGCGCGGCTCCCCCAGTTGCGCTCCCTGGGCGCCAAACAAAAGCAAAAGCAAAGGCAAAAGTGAAGGCACAAGCGAAGGCAACACAAACGCATAGCATAGCATAGCATAACATAGCATAGCGCAGCATAGCACAGCCTAGCCTAGCCTAGCCGAGCCCAGCATAGCATTGCGCAGCATATCATAGCATAGCATATCATAGCATAGCATCGCATATCATTGCATAGCATAGCCCAGCATAGCATTGCGCAGCACAGAATCCATTATTGCTGAGACACAGGTGAGGCGCGTGCCTGGTCAGGTTAGCCCCGCACGGCATGCGCCGCTCAGGCTTCGGCCCAGAGGGTTCCGACCGTCGCGAGGGCCTCCCAGCGTCTGACGGCTGCAAAGGCAGCGAGCGTTGGCTTTGGTGATGGCATGTGACAGGCCGAGTGACGCGACCAGTTGCGTCTGCTTGCTGGATGTGTCAGATCTTGACATGTTGATGCGCTGCCTGCTAGAGTGGCACGCTTGACGTACGACTCGAGTGTTTTTCCCTACCTAGGCTCTGCCTAGAAGGGTTCCTATTGTCTTGGCTTAAAGGGGCCGGGCAGCGCAAACCGCCCCGGGCGTTTCCCCCGGTCCCCTGGGAGCCAAGCAAAAGCAACAGCAAAGGTAAAAGCAAACGCGCGGCTCCCCCAGTTGCGCTCCCTGGGCGCCAAACAAAAGCAAAAGCAAAGGCAAAAGTGAAGGCACAAGCGAAGGCAACACAAACGCATAGCATAGCATAGCATAACATAGCATAGCGCAGCATAGCACAGCCTAGCCTAGCCTAGCCGAGCCCAGCATAGCATTGCGCAGCATATCATAGCATAGCATATCATAGCATAGCATCGCATATCATTGCATAGCATAGCCCAGCATAGCATTGCGCAGCACAGAATCCATTATTGCTGCTATATATATATATACACATATATTTATCCATATACTTAGCTTGCTTTTGCTGCTGTCTCGGCGACTTGCTGCCTGCTTCTGCTGCTGCTTCACTTACGGCGTGGCGTCGGCGGTTCTGGCGCTACGACTACTACTACTATTATTACTACTACTACTACTACTACAACTACTACTACTACTATTACTACTACTACTACTACTACTGCTACTACGACTACTACTACCACTACGACTACTACTACTACTACTACTACTACTACTACTACTATTACTACTACTACTACTACTACTACGACTACGACTATACTACTACTACGAATTTACTACTACTACCTACTACCACTACTACTACTACACTATACTTACTACTAATACTACTATACTACTACTACTACTAGGACTACGATACTACTACCTACTACGGGATACGACTACTGACTACTAAGACTACTCTACGTACTCTTACTACTACTACTACTTACTACTTACTATACTTACTACTACTACGACGACGACACGACTACTACTACTACAGTACCACTACCAATTCCACTACCACTACCACTACCACACCATACGTTACCACTAACACTACCCCCACTACTTTACTAATACTGACCGACTAACGACTTACTACGACTACCACTACGGACTACGAGTACTAATACTACACTATTACTACTAATACTACTACTAGACTACTACTACTACCACTACTACTACCTACTGAATACTACGACTACTACGACCACTAACTATACTACTACGACTACGACGAGACCGAAGACGACGACGACGACCGACGACGATGACGACGACGACGACGACGACGACGACGACGACGACGCGACGACGACGACGGAACGGCGACCGTGCGACGGCGACGGCGACGACGACGACGACGACGACGACGACTACGACGACGACGACTACTACTACTACTACTACTACTACTACTACTACTACTTCTACTACTACTACTACTACTACTACTACTACTACTACTACTATTACGACGACGACGACGACGACGACGACGACGACGACGACGACGACTACTACTACTACTACTACTATTACTACTACTACTACTACCTACTACTACTACTACTACTACTACTACTACTACTACTACTACTACTACTACTACTACTACTACTACTACTACTACTACTACTACTACTACCATTGCTGCTACAACTGCGACGATGAGGAGAAGGAGGAGGACGGCGTTTACCGCTCGTACTAATTTTGCTTTCCTAGAGGCTCCAACTCCTAGGTAGGGTCGCACTGGGATAATTATTGCTAGAGTTGCTGGGCTTGCCGAGGATCCTGATGAGTCTGCGACGACGGTGCAGGATGGCAGCTGAGCTGTACTGTGGTCGGTTGCCACGGCGGGCGGCGTTTGCCACAAAACTTCCACCAAGCCTGCAACGGGCCCCACACCGTCGTCCAATTCATCTGGCCTTCGCTTACGGGCTGGCCACCCCACAAACACAGTTTCGGATAGTGGGTGGCACCCTTAGCACCACGCACTCATATTGTTTTCGTCACGAGCAGTACCCAGACGAGCTACTTGGGCCCGCTCGTGAGTGGCCGCCACGTCGGCCGCATCATCGGCGACAACGGGCCCGCCGTAACGACCCTCGAGGCGGACTCCCAGAGGCGCGGCCGAGGCCGCGGGGAGGCAAGGATCCCCCCCACATCTCCGCGTGTCAACGCTGATGGGTGCAGGGGGCGTGCGCCCTGGCGGCGCCCCCAAAGCGTCGGGACAGACGTCCCCCTTTCCTGGCGTGTTTTTTTTTCGCTCGATGCTTAGATGACCGCAGGCGCGCGGCGTCGTGGACGCGAGGGCGACCTTTGCCAGCGCGAACGCAACAAAAGAAAGAAGAGGAGAAGGAGGAGGACAAAAAAGTGGAGGAAGAGGAGAAAGAGGAGGAGGAAAAAAAACCGGAGGAGGAGGAAGAGGAGGAGGGCATTTATGGACGAGGAGGGGGAGGAGGAGGAGGAGGAGGAGGAGGAGGAGGAGGAGGAGGAGGAGGAGGAAGGGGAGGAGGAGCCCTTTTTGCAGGCTAACAGGAAGGCCCTCGTCATCAAGGCCGGGCCCGCCTCAGGAATCATGGTCGGGGTGAGGTTTGGGTCAGAGGTTTTGGAAAGCTGAGGTCTTGATCCTGGCAGCCCAGGTCAGAATCGGCTGGCAGTACGGTGACTGTCAAGAGCTTTCCATGGCCCCCAGACAAGGCCTGTTCACCCCTCCAGGAGCACCCCCCACCCGCACAAAAGCCACCAGGCTGCAGGCCCCCCCAGACATGCTCGTGTCGTGAAAAAATGCGACGCGCGGTTAGTGGCCGCTCTCGGCTTCTGTGGGCCTTCGACGGGCCCCGGGGTAAAACACCGGTCTTGGGAAAAATGTAGGGACTGCGGGGACCGCGCAGTGGAAGAAGCAAGGCGTCACATCTCTGGGTTTCTACTCCTTCCCGGGACCCCATCGGTCCCACCCCCCAGGAACCCCATTGGGTATCCTCTCAAGACGCCCCCCCCCCGCCTCCCAGAACATCCTTTTGCCCCCCCTCCCAGAGCAGCACTGGGAACGGAGGGGCAAGCCTTCCAGAAGCCTCCAGGGACCCCTCTGGGGCCCCTCCCCCGCAGACGCATCCCTTCCCCTGTCGTCTTGGGTCCAGTCGATCCGATGCGGTTCGGTCGATTGTTGTGTCGTTGCTGCATCGCTGCGCACGTCCAGGCTGCTTGCGGCCTGTCGGCTTCGGTCAGTTTCGGTGTCGCTGCTGGTTCAGTCGGCTTTCGGGCTGTAATGTCGCTGTGGACGGCCTTGGGGACGGCCACGGGTACTGCAGTCTCGCCGTCCTGTAATGCTCTTCCTCTCGTGTTTCGCACCCTTTACAACCAGGTCTACGGCACGGAGTGGTCCTACGGCTACATCGAGTGGGGCACGGGTGTGCACAAGTGCGCACCCCGCACTGCCGATGGTCATACTTACAGGGCTACGCAGAAGATGGGATACACGAGGCCATCTCGTGGGGGAAGGCACTATGGTAGGGGCGTTCTTTAAGGAATGTGCCCAGGAGGTGCCAGACCCTGGAGGATTCCTTATCAGATGAGGGCCGTGATGCCACTGGTCAAGCATCAATTGGTGACCCTGGAATCCTTATCAGAGGGTTCCTCATCCAATGCCCTCACCGTACCAGGAAGCTGGATACATACCACGTGGCAGGCCTGGGCGAGAGCTCGATGCGCATGTGGTCGCATGCCTATCCCGCGCCTGGCCCTTCGATGGCTGGGCTCGCCAGCCCTCCGCATGTGTGTTGCAGAGTGTTGCCTCCAGATGTCCCAAGTGTGAATACAGTGTCATGCTTGTCCCCAGGTTCATGACACAAGCAGGTGGAGGCACATGAAGGACTAGAGGAGCAGAGCAACGACTAGGTAGTGTGTAGGTGATCGTGCAGAGAACTGAGGGTTTTTGGGCCAGCCGATTTCTTCATCATTCAGCGGAGTTGTTTGTTCTCCTGTGTGGGCAGGATTGAGTCTTCAGGTGGTGATTCAATCTGGGTGGAAAGAGTCGCGTCAGAAGCGTTAGCCAACTCCATTGACATTCCGGATGTAGTAATCCGTAGTGCGATGTTGGGAGTGAATCTCGACGCTCGAGCATTTCAGCCAGGTGTGAAGTGGAATTCGCAGCATTGAAGTTCGTGGTTCCACTGTCTGGGCGGGATCTGCAATACGCTTGTCAAAGGCTTGCGTGTGTGCGAAACGTCCCGAGCCGGCCGCTCTTCAGTTCCCCGCTCTGGTTCTTCTCTTTTTCCATATTTGCCGACGGCGGTGTCACATTTCGTTTTTTGCCCGCAGTTTGGTTTGCAACATTTGGCATCTTCTACTCTCGTCGTCGCACGTCTTTTTTAGTGTGTCACGTTTCGAATTACACTTCTCATTGCATGGGGCATTTCCCATAACATGAACGGCGCATCGCAGCTTTTTATGCTGCCGAGGATAGTTTCTCTTCGTCGCGATGGAATTACCCTTCTCCAGCGATCTTGAAGGAGGGGTGTTCGCAGGTCATCGAATGGGTACTCGCATTCTGCTCATGCACCCAATGCTTGTCGATCCGTCTTCACAGCGGCGCAAAATCTGAAGCGAGGCTAACGCAGGAGTCCGTGGGCAAGGTGCTTGAGAGGATGAAGGGCGAGTGGCCTGGGAAAGACTATCAGTTCTTGGAGCACAATTGCTTGAGCTTCTGCAGCGCGTTCCTGCAGGAGTGGGTCAGCGGGTGGAGGGCAGTATAATGTTGCATGAGAAAAGTTCGGGGGAGGGTTGTCCATAGGTGGTTATATTGGGTGGGGGGTCTGGGCACCCGCGAGGTTAGTCACTGGGTGATCCAGCACGGGTGTTTGTAACACGAGTTTCCGCGCTCTCTGCACGGGGTCTCGCGAGCGGCCAGCGCGCGACAAGCTGAGCATTGTACGTGATGCACGCATTATGGTGAAAGCGGTGTTGCTCTCTCTCCCTCTCTCGATCGGTATTGGTGAAGGCTCTGTCCGTGAATGGGCTATGGTGTCGCCTGAGCGCTTGCCACAATCGTGATTGGGAGTGGTGCTCTCGCCTCAGCGTTTGCTGTATGCCTGACTGGGTATGGTACTGCCGCTCGAGCGCAGGCCACATCCCTGGCTGGTGACGTTACTCTCGCGGGAGCGCTGGCCACAATTTCATGTTAGGACGCTCATTGTCTTCAGATCGGAGTCAGTTCGGACCAGAAACAAATGCATAATCATGAATTTAAGCAGCACCGCGCGGATTTTTGGATCTGCGTTGGTTCCCTCTGGCGGCGCCTCCGTGACCGCCCCTGGCGCGCTCCGCGCGCCAGGGAGGGGGGTCCAGCGCCAATCCAAGAAGTTGCCCGCATGGGAATGGCACATAGTTCCTTTAGGAATGTAGTGATCTGCTCCCAGCCAAGCATCTAGACGTTGTTTGGCAGGGGGAGGAGACAGACGGCACAGACGGGGGCGGCGCATAGCCGAGCGTTTCTCTTGAGGCTAGGCCGCTCCTGGGAGTCCACATGTCGAGAGTACGCGAGTCGAAGTCCCAACCAGACGCAGGAATGATATGACGGTTGTCTTTTCATATTCCGAATCGGACTTCAAAAAGCGTCCTTGCAGCTTATGCCAAAGGGCTCGTTCGGAGTGTCCATTCGGTTATGATCGGCCTGAGCGGTATCGATCTCGACGGGCTCGACCCGATTCGATCTCGATTTTCCGTAGTTGTATACCCCAGTGCGATTGGTTCGATCAGATTTCGATTCCGTGCATATGCGGCCCAGTCGATACACGTCCCGATCCGATCCGACAGCGATTCGATGTTGACAACTCCCCGCCCTCCATCAACAAAAATTCCCCCGGACCTGTTCCAAGGCGCGTTCTGATTATAATTTCGAGGCGTATCTTGCCGTGGCGACCAGGGCGTTGCACCGTTGCTGAGTTAGCACCAGAGGCCTCTTGGATGTCTCTTGGGAGGCCTCTCGGAGGCCTGGATGGACCCCATTTGGGTCGTCCCGAGGCCTTTTTGGGGCCTCTTGGAGGCCTCGTGGGGGCCTCTCGGGTTCTCTTGGGAGCCTCTTGGGGGCCTCCTGGCAGTCTCGGAGGGAATATTTGGGTGGAGTGCTCGAAATGTCAGGTTGTGTTCCAGCTCTTGGGTCCCTCTTGAGGCCATCTTGTGCCCCTCTTGAGGGCTTGAAAGGTGTCTTGGGACGATCAGAAGGCCGATTGGGCCGTCATGGGAGCTCTTAAGACCGGAAGGCGAGAAAAGTATCATCATTGAGACACTTCCAGTGTTATGATGGTTTGGCCTCTTGGGGCAAATCATAGGACCTCCAAGACGGTCCAACAGGCGCCCAGAGCGCTCCCAGGCGGGCCTTGGGACCACCTTAGGTCATGTTTGAACTGTGGAGCCGATGACGAAATCACACGAGAATCCCCAGGAGCGCCCAGGAACGCCCGGGTGTCTTGGCCCCGGGACCCGTAAAGAGCACTTACAGTATTAAGCGCAGAGAGCTCGAAGGGATTTGAGGACACTCCATCCATCAGTATCGTTTAACCTATCCCTATCCCCATCTCCATCCACGTCGCGATCCCCACCATCCCACCACCCCAGTTGGGCATTGGCCCCTCGAGACCCGAAGGGAACAGACTATATTCCTCTCTAGGAGGGTAGATCGGCCAGTGCAGCCCAGGCCACGCCAGTGGGGATAGGGATCGGTTAAACTATGCCCAATCTGGTGCCTTGCGGCGCGGTGGCCAGTCTTCACTCAACTTCCCAGGTCCTCCATCCTCGTCTTCGCCTGAAGCGCCCGCGGAGGCCCTCGGCCTGGGGCCCCTGCCGCCATGGGTGGACCGCTACGGGCGCACCGCCTGCAAGGTGACCAGCGCGATCCCGGTCAGCGGCCTGGTCAAGGCCCGACGCTGGGCCGTTTGGTTTCCGCCATCATCCCTCGTCGTCGTCGTCCCCTCCTTCTCCCTCCTTCTCCTCCTCCTCTTCCTCCTCCTCCTCCTCCGAGCTGGCCGGCGAAGTGGATACCTCCACCTGGCCTTGCCCGTAGCCCGCGTTGGCTGCCCTGGGAATTCGTCCTGGCCCAGGGCAAGCAGACTTTCGAAGGGCTGCGCATCGCCTCCTGGAACGCTCGTGGGCTCCTTCTCCAGCGCGCGTACAGGAGACATGGCAAGATCTCCAGGCTCGCGAAGCCCATGAAGCTGCGCATGCTGATTGTGATCCAGGAAACGCACGGCACCGAGGTGAAGCTCCGTTCCGTCCTGGACCAGCTACCGCACCACTATTACGTCGACTTCTCTCCGGGCGACTCGCCTGGCATTGGTGGATTGGCCTTCTTGGTTCCGTGGTATCCCGCGTCCCAAGTTGCAGCACCTGCGGCCCGTTTTCCACTTCGAGAACATCGTCTCTGCGCGCGTTGCCGTCTTCACCATCTCCAACTCCTCGACGAACGAGCACGTCAGCATCATGAACGTGCATAGTCATGCTCTCCCACCGCAGGCGCTGCCTGTCATCAGGACTCGCTGGACGGACGGGGCGACCTGGGCCCGCCAGGACGCGCGCCGCTGCATTTTCATTGCCATCGGCGACTTCAACATCGCGGACGGGGAGCCGGTCGCACTTGCTCGCCCCACCCCACCGGCCCCGACGCTGCCCTCCGATTCCACCCCTGTCACCCTCCCGTCGCCCTCCTCGTTTACCTCCTCGAGTTCCTCCGGGTCCAGCACTGGCTCCACCGCCTCATCTGCTGATTGCTCAGTTCGTGCTCGTCAACGCGCCGTTCGCTCGAACTGTCACGCCGTCTGGCAAAGTGGCAATCAGGCGCAAGACTTCTGGCGCAGCCTCTTCCAGCGCGACCTCCTCGAGATCTCGTGCGAGCTGCCCACCCATTACTCGAGGCATCACCAGACCTGCAGCTTCATCGACCGTGCCTTCGTCTCTCTGCAGAGCCACTACGTCCTGGACACCACGATCACCTTCGAGATCTGGCATGAGGCGGCTTCCCTGGCAGACTGGGGCCTGAGTGGCCATGCTATCATCCAGCTGCAGATCCAGCCGAGCGAACCTGCGGCGCCGCAGACTCGCGCCATCCCTTCGGACGCGTTCGCGCCCCAACGCTTTGCCAAGCACGTCGGGGCGCTGCTCGACCACTCCAGCTTCTCGGGCCTGACCGTGGAGAACCGCTGGGGGGAGGCCAAAGCCCAGATGGTGGAGGCCGCGCGTCTCGCACGGAATGAGATGCAGGCCCTCCCGATTGGCGATGGCGACCAGGAAGCGACCGAAGGGCGACGGATCTCCGCCCGCGCTGTGGCCTGAGCCACTTGGCGACAAGATCTCCGACTGGCCCAGCGCCTGATCGACGGCACCGCGTTCGGCGCTCGCCATTTGCACATCTGTGGCATCGAGACCACGCCGCCGGCCCTCCTGAGCGACCCCATCGCCTTCGAGGAGGACTGTCGCCTGCTGCATCTCGGCTGGCACGAACGCCAACAGGCCGCCGCCGCCGCGCGCCTTCGCGAGGAGGCTCAAGCTCGGCAGGGAGCGGATGGCCCATCGGAGTTCCAGCTTCGCAAGATGCAGCGCGCGGCGCAGCGACGTGCCTTGCTATGGGTGCCCTATCGGCGGCAGCTGCTACTTGCTGGCATCCGCGCCGACGGCGACGGGCACCGGGCCTCCATCGAGCGCCGCCTCATCGTGATGCTGGACGCGCTGCGCCACTATTGGTAGCCCATCTTCACGGCTAGGCCGCCTGTGGACGATGCCCAGCTGACGGCCGCCATCGACGCCTACCTCGCCCAGCACATGCCTGACTACGAGCAGCCGCATCTCGGGGTGCCGTCGCTGAGTGGCCTGCGAGCAGCGCTGTAGAGCGCTCGCTCTTCGGGCCCTGGTCCTGATCGGCCCCGGGCGCGGGCGTGGCTGGCGGGCGATCGCCTCGCCGAGAGTAAACGCGACCTGATGCTCGGCCTCTTCCATGGCGCCCCCTCGCCATGAGGCTTCAACTTCTCGGGCGCGGCCTGCGTCCCGAGGGGCGCGGAGACGGGCGACGCGCTGAAAACCATCCGAATGGCAGAGAAGGCGCGGCCGCTCAGTCTGAATAGCTGCGACGCGAGAGCTGTCGCGGCTGCCGGGAACCAGATGTTGGCGCCTCTGACCGCCTCGCGCGCCCATGCTCGTCAACTCGGGCTCATTCGTGGGCGGGAATTTCTGATGCACGCGTTGCGTCTGGCTGCGCGAGCGCGCGCGCGTGGCCATCGTCCAGCCTCTCTGCCTCCTCTTGCATCTTTCGACCTCCGCGCTGTCTCCCCCCCGTCCCTCAGCTCCTCCATCGCGCGCTTGCTCGCCATCGCCTCCCAGAGGGGTGCCTGCATGTTGTTCGCGCTTTGCACTCAGGGGCTGTCGCCCGCCCCCGCGTCGGGGCGGCCAGGGCCCCCATCTTCCGGCGACCTCGGGCGTTGCCCAGGGCCGCCCGCTCTCTGGGCCCATCTGGGCCCTCTGCATGGGCCCTGTCCTGAGGGATATGGCTTCCCCCTTGGGCTCTGCGATGGCCCAGGCAATGCGCCCCGCCCCCGAAAGGTGGCGCCCTGGGCTACAACCTGGGCGCGGAGCGACGGCGGGCAACGCGGGCGCCACCCCCCCTTCGATTCGCCTCCTCCTGAGGCCCGCGTTCGTCGCCGCCCGCCGTCTCGCGCGCCCTGTCCGTCAGCCCTTCAAATGTTGCCTTGTTCTGCGGGCGGAGAGATGCGGCCCCGAGGTCGAGCGAGTTCGCTCGTCTCTCCTCGCCCTTGTGCCGGAATTGGTAGACTTCCATGTCAAAAGGCGCCGCCGAGTTCTTGGGTTTCCAATGCGGCCCCGCCGCCGCGCTGCCACCCCAATGGCAGAGCCTAGCTGCCAAATGGAGAGCTAGAGCGGCAGGGGTGGCCTTGGGCCGAGCACCCGCAGAGGCCAGCTGCAGGATTCATACTTTCGAGATTCTCCCAGTGTTCAGCTATGCGCGCCAGCTCCCCCCCCCTCCTCCGCTTCCTCCGCATCCTTCCCAATTCCGCTGGCCTGGCTGAGCTCCCGGGGATCCGGTCCTGGTTTCGTTCGGCGGCCCCTCGCTCGCTCCGAGCACTGGCCGGCAGCGCGGCGTGGCGGACGGCGACCCGCGCTCTTCGGCGGGGCGGGGTGGGCGGACGGGGCGAGGGCCTTGAGTTGCTCCGTGGCCGCGCCGAGATGCGCGGCCCTCTCGGCCGCCTGGCCCCGGGGCTCTGGCGCCGGAGATTTGGGGGCGCCGGAGTTCGATCGCCGAGTTCCTGGAGCCGGTGCTCCGCTCAGGGCCGCCGGGCATCAGGCCGGGGGCCTGGGCCCCAGCAGCGACGGCGGCGAGGGCGGAGCTGGCGGCCGCCGCCGAGGAGCGCCGCCCGCGACCGCAGCGATTCCTCTCGTCCCCCATTGGGTGCAGCGTCGTATTTCTTCCTGGTCCCCCGACCTTTCCGCCGCTGCTGCCCGCTGATCTTGAGGCTCGATGGGGGGGCCACAGGCGATTCTTGCCCGATCCCCACCCGCGCGGGCGCGGCTCCACCTGAAGACGTCGGGCCGGGGCTGGGCGGCCTCGGCCCGCGCCCCGAGCGCGCCCGAGGCGCCGTGCCTTTTTGGTTGCGCTGCTCCCGATTCGTTCGACCATCATCTCCAGTGCCCTCTCCTCGCCCTTCCCCGTCGACCCCCCCCCTTGTCCTCTCGCTCGCCCGGGGCTCGGCCCCCGCCCCCATCGCGAGATCAAATATCCGCGTTCGCGATGCCCCCAAATCGTGGTCCTGAGCTTTCGCATCTACCATAAGCTGAAAGCGGACCTTGCGCGGCGGCCGCAGGCCGCCGCGCCGTCGTACCATTGCCATATGCGAACTGCTGCATCAGACGCCACCCGATGCTGGTGCTGCGTAGTTGCTCTGGCGCCGTATTTCCAGCTACGCGCGCCCTTCCCTCTCCTCCTCCCATGCGCGCCCCGTGCTCTCCCTTCCCTGCCGTCGTCGTCTTCGTCGTCGTCTTCGCCGTCGCCCCTTCCTTTCTTTCCCTGTCCCATCCCCCCCCCCTCGCGCATCCCTTGCTGTCGCGTGCCTGTCGTCGTCGTCTTCGTCGTCGGCCTCTCCTTCCCCCTCTTCCCCCGCCTCCCCCCACGCGCGTTCCGCAGCCATTTTGTCTCGAGCCATTCTGGCTCAAGTAAGACATCCATCGAGCCAGCTGGGCCGGACGGCCTTGCGGGCCCCGGCCGCGGGGGGCGGCCCCGCCAGGCTGAGGGCAGTTCCCTTTTGCTGCCCACCTCTCGTTTCCCTTTATCGCGGGCACAGGCGGGGGCCGCACGGCTTTTTCTCTCGCGCCCCGAAGAGAAGCCATGGCTGAAAAAGACTCGATCGCAGAGCCGCGGCGTTGGCAGGCGCGCGCCAGGAGAGAAGTAAAGCAGTTCCCTGAAGGTCTGACTCTCGTGAATCCAGCAGCAGCAGTCGAAGTGGATGTCGCACCATCGACATGAGCGACCCGATCTTGAGTGACTCATCGTCAAGGGCTCCACGCAAGAAGCCTGGGCGCTGCCAAATGAACGGCAAGAGTAGCAGCAGCGGAGCCGACATCCTGAATGGCATGCGCGAGATGACGCAAGAGCAGCAGACATCCATCTTCGCGAAGCTCGATCAGTCGGCGGACTCAATACAGAAACAGTTGACCACGCGCACCCAGCACATCACGGAAGTTCAAAGCACTCTGATCGCCCAGCAGTGTCAGATCAACGCGCAGGGCAATCATATCAACCAGCTGACGGAGCAGATGGAAGACATTTCGCAGCGTGGCAGCGCGGCCAGCACAAGTGTTGGAGATGGTGCCAGTTCAGTTGGAGGTCGCACGGGGCGCGGCAGTCGGCACCATCAGCCAGT